TCAATTCTGATGATTTTTTTTTATTTTTAAAAACTAAGAGTTTTTAAAATGGGAAATTTTGGTAGTAATCAACTTAAATCCCCTATTTTCTTCTATAACCCCTTTAAATGGGCAAAAATTGAACATCAAAGTTACTATCAACGGGAACTTGGCACGGAGTTTATAAATCCCACTTAAGTGGGAAAAAAGAATGCTGAAAAAAATAGAACCTAAGGAGAAGAAAATAAATAAGGAAGAAAGAAGGACAAGAAGAAATAATGAGGTAATAAAAGGCTGCAAAACGGAATGAAAAAAGAAAGAGCAGAACAGGAAAACAATTCGCAGTCCTCCAAAAACTGGTACGACGGAAAACGAAGACGAGGAAATAGAATAAGTGTTAAAAAAACCCGGAGAAATAGAAGCAGATCTAAAAGGAAAACCAACGTTTTACTTGAGAAGTAAAAAACATGGGAAAACGGATGGTAGAAAAAGAAAAGGAATGGCAATAAGTGGAAAAAACAGCTAAATAAAATAGAAGCTATGGAGAAGAAAATAGACAAGGAAGAAAGAAGGAGAATAAGAAATAATGAGGTAATAAAAGGCTGCAAAACGGAATGAAAACAGGGAACAGCAGAACAGGAAAATAATCTTCAGTCTTTCAAAAAACTGGTACGACGAAAAATGAAGACGAGGAAATGGAATAAGTATTAAAAAAACCTGGAGAAATACACGCAGATCTAAAAGGAAAACCAACGTTTGACATGAGAAGTAAAAAATGTGAGAAAAGAGAAAGAAAATGAAAGGGAATGGCAATAAGTGAAAAAACTGCTGAATAAAATGAAAGCTATGGAGCTATGGATTTTATAATTAAGTGTCGCCTTCGGCTCACGACGAATAAAAAAATCGTCAGAATTGAGACAGGGCGGGTGGGTGGGGTTTATATTTTCTCTTGTTTTTCTTAATATACATAGCCATCTTTTCACAACAAGAAACTTAAAACATAGTTATAATGCTACATTTTTGCAAGGAAATATGGATTTTGCAATTATATTACATATTATATTTCCTTATACAAATTTTCCATTTTAAATATGTTTTAAGTTTCATGTTGTGATCAGAAGTCTACACATATTAAAACAAAAAGGCAAAATGTAGCCCCGCCCACCCGCCCTATCTCAATTGTGATGATTTTTTATTCGCCAAGAACTAAAGGGGCGGGGCTTAAGTGCAAAATACTCTTTACAGGGAATTAAAAACATATTTTTGAGTATCGTGTTGTTCAAAGAATACTATGTATATTATGAAACAAAGGCAAAATATTAACCCCGCCCACCCGCCCTATCTCAATTGTGATGATTTTTTATTCGCCGCGAACTAAAGGGGCGGGGCTTAACTGTAAAATACTCTTTACAGGGACTTAAAAACATTTTTTTGAGTATCGTGTAGTTCAAAGAATACTATGTATATTAAGAAACAAAGGCAAAAATCGATATTTCCTTATACAAATTTTCCATTTTAAACATGTTTTAAGTTTCTTGTTGTAAGAAGAGGTCTGCATATATTGAAACAAAAAGGCAAACTGTAGCCCCGCCCACCCGACCTGTCTCAATTGTGATGATTTTTTTTTTTATTCGCCGAGAACCAAGGGGGCGGAATTTAACTGCAAAATACTTAGTTCAAGAAATGAAAAACATGTTTTTAAGTATCGTGTTGTTCAAAGAATACTATGTATATTAAGAAACAAAGGCAAAATATTATCCCCGCCCACCCACCCCATCTCGATTGTGATGATTTTTTTATTCTTAGAAATTAAAAACACCTTTAAAATGGTAAATTTTTGTAGTAATCAACTTAAATCCTCCATTTTTCTTCTATAACCCCTTTAAATACGGCAAAAATTGAACATCAAAGTTACTATCAACGGCAACCTGTGGACACTATGCATTAATAATACTAATAATGATAATAATAATAATAACTTGGCAACGGAGTTTATAAATGACAATTTTGAGCTCTAAACGCAACTACAACGGGAACTTCAACGTCAACAGCAAGTTTATAAATCCCACTTAAGTGGAAAAAAATTGCAGAATAAAATAGAAGCATGGAGAAAAAACTAGATGAGGAAAAAAAGAGAAGAACAAGAAATAAGGAGATAATGAATGGCTCCAAAACGAAATGAAAAAGGAAGAGCAAAACAGGAAAACAATCAACAGTTCTCCAAAAACTGGTACGATGAAAAACGAAGACGAGGAAATGGACTAAGTATTAAAAAAACTCGAAGAAATACACGCAGATCTAAAAGGGAAACCAACGTTTCACCTGTGAAGAAAAAATTCTGAGAAAATGGAAGAAAAAGAAAGGAAAGGGCAATAAATGAAAAAAACTGCCGAATAAAATGGAAGCTGTGGAGAAGAAAATAGACAAGGAGGAAAGAAGGAGAATGATTAATAATGAGATAACAAAAGGCTTCAAAACGGAATGGAAAAAGGAAGAGCAGAACAAGAAAACAATCCAAGCCGCAGTCTTCTAAAAACTGGCACAACGAAAAACGAAGATGAGGGAATAGAATAAGTATTAAAAAAATCCGGAGAAATACAAGCAGATCCAAAAGGAAAACCAAAGTTTTATCTGTGAAGTAAAAAATCCGAGAAAAGGGATGGAAGAAAAGGAAAGGGAATGGCAATAAGTGGGAAAAAAAACTACTGCATAAAATGGAAGCTATGGAGAAGAAGAAATAATGAGATAATAAAAGGCTGCTAAACGGAATGAAAAAAGAAAGAGCAGAACAGGAAAACAATCCGCTCGACTCAAAAAACTGAAACGACGGAAAACGAAGACGAAGAAATGGAATAGGTGTTAAGAAAATATTGAGAAATACAATCAGATCTAAAAGGAAAACCAACATTTTACCTGTGAAGTAAAAAATCTGAGAAAATTGATGGAAGAAAAGGAAAGGGAATGGCAATAAGTGGGAAAAAAACTGCTGAATAAAATGGAAGCGATGGAGATGAATATAGGCAAGGAAGAAAGAAGGAGAAGAAGAAATAATGAGATAATAAAACCCTGCAAAATGGAATGAAAAAAGGAAGAGTAGAACAGGAAAATAATCCGCTGTCCTCAAAAAACTGGTACGACGGAAAACGAAGACTAGGAAATGGAATAAGTGTTAAAAAAATCCGGAGAAATACAAGCAGATCTAAAAGGCAAATCAACGTTTTACCTGTGAAGTAAAAAATCTGAGAAAATGGATAGAAGAAAAAGAAAGGGAATGGTAATAAATGGGGAAAAAATTGCTGAATAAAATGGGAGCTATGGAGCTGAAAATAGACAAGGAATATTTGTATAACACTATTACTGAAGAACATATTTCACATGGTCATTTTTCGTAGAAAAATAAGGACTTTACAATTAAGCTCCGCCTTCTTGGCTCACGAGGAATAAGAAAAAATCATTACAATGGAGATGAGGCGGATGGGCGGGGCTTAGATTTTGCATTTTTTTTCTTAATTTACATAGCTATCTTTTCACAACAGAAAACTTAAGATATGCTTAAAATGCTATATTTTTGCAAGGAAATATGAATTTTGTAATTATGAGGCGGCGCCTAATTGCAAAAATTGACATTTCCTTATACAAATTTTCCACTTTAAACATGTTTTAAGTTTCTTGTTGTGAAAAGAGATCTACACATATTAAAACAAAAAGGCAAAATGTAGCCCCGCCCACCCGCCCTATCTCAATTATGATGATTTTTTTATTTGCTGAGAAACAAGGGGGCGGAGTTTAACTGCAAAATACTTATTTCTTTACAAGAAATTAAAAACATGTTTTTAAGTATCGTGCTGTTCAAAGAAAATATTAACCTCGCCCACCCACCCCATCCCAATTGTGATGATTTTTTTATTCTTAGAAACTAAAAACATGTTTAAAATGGTAAATTTTTGTAGTAATCAACTTAAATCCTCCACTTTTCTTCTACAACCCCTTTAAGTACGTCAAACGTTGAACGTCAAAGTTACTATCAATGGCAACAGCAAATTTTTAAATCCCGTTTAAGTGGGAAAAAAATGCTGAACAAAATAGAAGCTATGGGGAAGAAAATATATAAGGAAGAAAGAAGGACAAGAAAAAATAATGAGATAATAAAAGGCTGCAAAACGGAATGAAAAAAGGAAGAGCAGAACAGAAAAGAGAGATCTGATTTTATCAATGAAAGCATAGAAAATGATCTGAAAATTGAAAACAGCTTCGTCATAGGAAAACAATGGTTTTAGTAGAAATGGAAAACTGAGAATAAAAGAAAAAAAATAAAGAAAGGTAAATAAAAACTCATGGAGAAAGTGCGTCCAAAAACGATATATACAGATAATGACCTCACAGAAAAAAAAGAAAAATACAAGAAAAGATAGTGGTAATAACCAAAACAAAAGGGATGAAGAGAAACAAGTTAAAATGGGGTGCTATAAATTGATAGTGGATGGCAAAGTAAAGGAGGAATTATATAAAACATTGATTTATTTACAGTACACTTATTTTTGACATTTTATCATCTAAATTAACTAAAGTAAGTTAAAACATACGTGTATGCTCGACGATGCGACCTCGATGGTGAACTGTGACGTCAAATTTCTAGGGTCATTTATTGAGAAAAATCTCCAGAAACAACTTTCTGACTATTTAATTAAAATTATGGCTTGGGGAAGGTGCTTTTTGAGAAAATTGTACCAAATAAATCGTGTATGTTACAATTCCAGAAATTATCTGTCAAAACAAACACTTTTGTGATTTTAATAAACACTTCATCTATATTTACTTACCGAAAATAACAAAGCATGGTTTAATGAGAAAAGTCCATACACAGTAAAGTATGGTTTTTGATTATATAGCTTCAAGTGCATTAATTCAATCTGTTGGACAGAGAAAAGACAATAAATTAATAAATTATCAGAAAAAAAATATATACTTTACATTTTTGTAGCATGGAACGTTAGAAATCCCTTCATTTTCTTCAATATCGTTTAAAACAGTAAATTTCTGCAAAAAAAATGTTATCACTATAAATTAAACTCGGTTTATTTTACCTCAGATTCAATTATTTCACAAAAATATAACACAAAATAATCCGTGAACATAATTATCAATAACCAGCACGTGTTACTAAATGTTAATATCGCCGTGCTAAGTGACGAAAATCTGCTGTAGAGAATTTCATTCATTCCAAAAAAGAAGTCAATTGCGACAATATTAAGACTAGTAAACAACTTAAATAAAATAAATCCTTGCAAAGTACTGTTTGTAAACGACGATAAAAAACACAAATGTGAGTCTACTTTTTTATAAATTTTTGTATTATTTACATCACCGTAAAAATTTTTATGAAACTCAAACAATAACCACAAAACCACGAGTACAAAAAAATCAAAACTAATATTAAAATATATCAGACAGTTAAAAGTGAACACGTGGAAAAAACTGCGCACATCACTGACCACAAACATCATGTCACAAATTAGGACCACTACATGTAAGAACAAATACAACAAAAACGTCACCAACAACCTTGTCCCCAACTTTTTGAACTGAATCGGTTTTTCGCCAAATTTTTGAGTCATGTTTTCGACGTCCAACAACATGTCGAACATTTTTTTAATCTGATTTTTTTTAACATGCGAATAACAAAAACTACCAATGCTTTTCAAAAAGACACAGGCCATTTGACACAAGTATGCATATGTTAGAACGTCGTTTCTAAAATAGGCGAATTTGACATGGAAGCAAAAGATAACAGTCAAGAAAAAAATAGTGAAAATGTATGTCTGGGATTTTTTAATTTGGAAACGTTTTTGTCCGCGTTTTTGGTTTTCGATTTTGTACACTGGTAAGCCGCAAAATCGCCACAGAATGCAAATTGGTCGAAGTATTTCGGAGATGGTTTGTGGTTTCCACATATTGGTGTTATATTTTAAGGTTAATATTGGTAATGGGTTGGTAAATTTGATGATAAGTGATCGGCATAGTGAATGAACTATTAATAATTTAACGAAATATTTTTAATGGTTTTAATTAATCACCTACTAATACTCATTTAAACTAATTAAGCTAAAATGTATAGTGTATGCCTGGACGAAGCGAGCTCGATGGTGAACTATGACGTACTAATTTTGTGATGTCAACTTAGACTATTTAATTAAGAAGGGGTTTTTTGAGAAAACTGTACGAAATAAATTGTGTATGTTACAATTCCAGAGGTTATCTAAAATAAAATTCTCACAAAACAAACAGTCCAATATATATTTACTTACCGAAAATAATAAAGCATAATTTAAAGGAAAAAGTCCATATACAGTGAAGTATGGTTTTTGAATATATAGCTTCAAGTGCATTAGTTCAGTCTGTTGAACAAAGAAAAGATATTAAATTATTATAAGTAAAAATATATATACTTTACATTTTTGTAGCATTGCATGTTAGAGATTCCTTCATTATTATTTTCAATATCATTTAAAACGGTAAATTTCTGCAAAAATATGTTATTGTTGTAGATTCAACTTGGTTTATTTTACCTCAGGCGCAATGATTTCACAAAAATATAGCATAAAATAATCCGTGTACATTAATACCAACAACCAACAAATATTACTAAACGACATTATCGTGGTGGTAAAAAACGACAATCTGCTGTTGAGCATCGAATCCATTCCAAAGTAGAGGTCAATTGTGACAACATTAAGATTCGTAAACAACTTAAATAAAATAAATCCTTGCAGTACACTGTTTGTATGTGAAGATAAATCACAGAGTTGTGAATCTATGGAAACAATATCACTGATTTTTGTATAAATTTTGGTATTGTGTACTTCACTGTAAATTTTTTTGTGAAACGCAAATAATAATCGCAAAACAACGAGCACAAAAAAGTCAAAACTAGTATTAAAATACAACACACAATTAAGACCGACGACGTAAAAAAAAGTGCTCACATCAGTTACATAAAAATTCATGTCACATATTATCACAATTATTTGTAAGAACATATAGAACGAAAATATCACCAATAAGTGTCTCCCCAATTTTTTTAAATTCATGGGTTTTCCGCCAAATTGTTGAGTCGTCTCTTCCATGGCCAACAACATGTTGAAAAGTTTTTTAATCTGATTTTTTTTAAGATATGAATAACAAAAACTACCAATGCTTTTGAAATTGACGCACATAATTTGACATAAGTATGCATATGCTTCAACGCCGTGTCTTCCAGAAGCAAGTTTGACATGTAGGAGAAGGATAACAGTCAAGAAAAAAATAGCGAAAATGTAGGTCTTTGATTTTTTAATTTGGAAACATTTTTTTCCGCGTTTTTGAACTTGGATTGTATACACTGGTAGACCGCAAAATCGCCAAAGTATGCAAATTGGTCGAAGTACTTCGGAGGTGTTTCGTGGTTTCCACATTCTGGTGTTGTATTTTAATAATTTCAGGATGAGTCAAGGTATTGTCAATACTGGTAATGCATTGGTAAACATCTGAATAGTATATGAATTATTAAAAATTAATGTAACCAATACAATTTACATTCCGAGCTGTTTAATAAAAAATCTTTAATCGGATAAGTTTAGGTAACATTCTGAATGTCGTTTTTATAAAGAACATATCTGTAATAAATTTTTCGCAGATTAATGCGTACCTTTGTTTTAACTGAGTGTCAGTTGCCCCTTTTTAACAATATTGGTGTGATCGATTAGACACCCAAACGAGTTAGACACAGTTAACTAAAAACTATGTCGTCGCCTAAAAATTTGCTTGCTATGGCTATCTATAGTAGCGTATGTCTTCTTCAAATAGGGTCGGTTGTTGCTCAAAATATCGGTTTAATATTTTTCACTTATAAAAATAAGGACAACATTGAAAGTATCTTCGTGGATCTTGTTTCTGTTAAAAGGAGCTTGTTTTTGCTCAGTAAAACGAAACTAATTTTTTTAAAGTGGTGAAATATTTGACGACACAGTTTTTTTGGATTACGAGTACGAGAGTTATAAACATCTACATCGGTTTTAACAATTCCTTCCAAGTGATTTTTGTTGTGTGATCTAACTGCTCAAGTGTACAATTTCAATCTGGATTTGTTACTGTTTTTGATTCTTTAAATAATGAGAGACTTCTTAATTGTTTTAATTAGAAAGGATCCTTCATTTGGAACGAGATTAAATGATGTGAATATTTACTGAAATTTATGTTGAATGTCACAATGTGTGTGTATTAAATTATTATTATTATTCATTCCGGAATTTCGCATTTATTAGAGTTCACATTCATTAGTTAGCTGAACAGTCTGATCATGTTGGTTATGATATTATTGAATGAAATAAGTCTATGTTTCTAAATACACCTTTAATAGCAATAATATTATACTGTAGACGGTTCTTATTTCAGCTATGGAGAAGAAAATAGATAAGGAAGAAAACAAAAAGACAAAATGTAGCCCCGCCCACTCTCCTTATCTCAATTCTGATGATTTTTTCTTATTTGCCGAGAACCAAGAGGGAGGAGCTTAACTGCAAAATACTTATTGATACAAGAAATTAAAAACATGTTTTTGAGTATCGTATTGTTCAAAGATTACTGTGTATATTAAGAAAAATGGGCAAAATATTAACCCCGCCCACCCACCCCATCCCAATTGTGATGAATTCTTTTATTTTTAGAAACTATAAACACGTTTAAAAAACATATTTTTGATTTCTCGTAGACACAAAGTTTTTGCAGTTAAGTTTCGCCCTCTTGGCTCACGATGAATAAAAAAAATTATCACAATTGAGATAGGGCGGGTGGGTGGGGCTAGTTTTTGCCTTTTTTTTCTTATTATGTGTAAACTTATTTCGACAACAAGAAACTTAAAACATGTCTAAAATGGTCATTTTTGTGCTAATCAACTTAAATTCTCCATTTTTCTTCTACAACCTCTTGAAATACGGCAAAAGTTGAACACCAAAGTGACTATCAACGCCAACTTAGCAACCGAGTTTATCAATGACTATTTTCAGCTATAAATACGACGAATAAAAAAAAATCATCACAATTGCGATAGGGCGAGTGGGCGGGGCTTATATTTTGCCTTCTTTTTCGTAATATACATAACCATCTCTTCACAACTTAAAACATGGTTAAAATAGTACATTTTTGCAAGGAAATATGGATTTTGCGATTATAGGGCGGCGCCTAATTGCAAAAATCAATATTTCCTTGTAGAAATTTTCCATTTCAAACATGTTTTAAGTTTCTTGTTGTGAAAAGAGGTCTACACATATTAAAAAAAAAGGGTAAAATGTATCCCCGCCCACCCACCCTATCTCAAATGTGATGATTTTTTTTTATTCGTCGAGAATCAAGGGGGCGGAGCTCAACTGCAAAATAGTCTTTACAAGAAATTAAAAACATGTTTTTGAGTATTGTGTTGTTCAAAGAATACTATATATATTAAGAAACAAAGACAAAACATTAACCCCGCCCACCCACCCCATCCCAATTGTGATAATTTTTTTATTCGTAGAAACTAAAAACTTGTTTAAAATGGTAAATTTTTGTAGTAACCAACTTAAATCCTCTCCTTTTGGCAACGGAGTTTATAAATGACAATTTTCAGCTCTAAAAGTAACGTCAACGGGAACGACAACTACAACGGGAACTTCAACGTCAACAGCAAGTTTGTAAATCCCACTTAAGTGGGAAAAAAATTGCTGAATTGAGTAGAAGCTATGGAGAAGAAAATAGATAAGGAAGAAAGAAGGACAAGAAGAAATAATGAGATAGTAAAATGAGAAACGAAGAGCAGAACAGGAAAGAGACACCGGATTTTATCAATGAAAACATAGAAAAAGATCTGAAATTTGGAAACAGCCTCGTGATAGGAAAACAAATAATTTTAGACGAGATAGAAAACAGAGAAGAAAACAAGAAATAAAGAAAAGTAAATAAAAACTAATTGAGAAGGTATGTATATACAGAAAAAGACTCACGGAAAACAAAAGAGAAATGCAAGTAAAGGTAGGGGTAATAACCAAAAACAAAAAGTGGTGAAGGGAACCAATCAAAATGGGGTACTATAAATTGATAGTGGATGAGAAAGTATGGACATGGGAACAAGCCAATGAATGTGGTAATAAGAAGAAAGAAGAAAAGAAAACACAAAAAATAAGCAAGGACGAGGAAATAGGTCTCCTGTTTTCGTTTGTCTGTCTGTCCGTCTCTTTGTCCGTCTGTCTGCTGCCCCGGATTTTTTTTTGGAGCTTAACAAGCATTAAACGAAAAGATAAAATCTTGTAGAAATACGTAAGAGAATTCTACGGGGTGGTAGAAACATAGGTGACACAGCTAGAATGGAAGAAAACAAAGGAACAACTCCTAAAAGAATTTGCATCGAAAAGAGAAAAAAAAGGAAGAGTAGAAGGAGGAATTATATAAAACATTGATTTATTTACACTTATTTTTGACATTTTAACATCTAAATTAAATAAAGTAAGTTAAAATGTATATGTATGCTCGACGATGCGACCTCGATGGTGAACTGTGACGTATAATCTTGTGACGTCAAATTTCTAAGGCCATTTATTGAGAAAAACCTCCAGAAGCAACTTTCAGACTATTTAATTAAAATTATAGCTTGGGGAATGTGCTTTCTGACAAAATATTTTTAATGGTTTTAATTAATCACCTAAGTTAATTGATATTATAATAAAAATAATACTAATTTAAAACCAATTAAGCTAAAATGTTAATGTATGTCTGGACGAAGCGAGCTCGATGGTGAACTATGACGTGTGAGACCATTTAATTAAGAAGACGTTTTTTGAGAAAATTGTACCAAATAAATCGTGAATGTTACAATTCCAGAAGTTATCTAAAATAAAATTATTTAGTAAATGGACATTTATACAGAGATGCGATAAGTATAACA